TGGAGGGGGAGGTATTTGAGTATTTCTTGCATTGTGCAGGGGGTTGGATTAGATGACCCTGGAGGTCCCTTCCAGCTCTATGATTCTATGACTGTGATTTGTATTAACCCGTTATGATGAACTCCTGTATCTCCCTAGCTGTCTAGCAGATTTCCTCTGTCAAATCTTCAGTTCCCCTCAGTGACTGAGTTGCCCTACAGTAGCATGTATAAATTCCTCTACCATCAGTCCATCAGTGTCATCATTGTCTACTCAGACTGGCAGTGGTTCTCCAGGGTTTTATGTAGAGGATTTTGCCCATGCCATGCTTTGTTTCTGAGCCGTTGGGCCTGGCTAGGGGGGTTCTCAAGGGTTTCCAGGTCCCCCTAAATTTCTGGAGAACCCCTTCCTAAATCCCACATGGCTCTGCCTCCATAAATAGTGACAATGGCCTGTGACGTCACTGGCTCCTCCCTATGATGTCACTGGGCCTCGGTTCTTTTAAGGACCTAGCGCAGCAATGCCTCTGGCCCAGCCCCAGCCCCCGGGGAAATTGGACATCAGGTGCAATGCACAGCAGAGATCTTTTGTGGCAGTGTTTGAATCTGCCCCTTAGGACTGGCCGATTATGTGCACCTTTCTTCAGTATCTGCTTGCACACAAAAGCTTATGCCCAGAATATGAACAGGGGGATTGTTAAATCCTGTTTTGTTTGAGCTCTTCTACAGTTCTACTCAGGCCTTCCAGGACCATTCTGGACACTGGAAGGAAGGCACCCAAAGAGGCCCTGAGCTCACAGCTTTATGGGATGCCGCTGCGTATCTAGCCAGAGAGGCAGACCCCAGACCCTCAGTCTAGCAAGCAGTATTTGGGGTGGCCCAGAAGCAAGAAGGGGGAGCTGGGATGGGTGGTCTAGCAGAACCTAGGAGGACAAGCTCTCAGACATTTCTCCATGGCTGCAGGTGGAGAAATGTGCCCCGCAGCTTCTGCCTAAGGAGGCCAAGCCTTGACACTTGGGGGATCAATCATATTGCTCCACAGTCACCCATCATCAATTCCGACTTGCCCTTTGCATCCAGACTTTTCCAGTGCTCCTCATTCCTTCTCACCCGGGGTCATTTCCTGCAGGAGCGCACAGGAGCGGAGCTCCGGCAGCAAAGAGCCCAGGGGGCAGGCACATGCAACAAGCCCCACCCCCTTCTCCCAGCAGCCCTCAGTCAGAGCAAGAAGCAGCCAGGTAAGCTGCAGAGCCCACCCCCCCGGCCCCTCGGTCCAAAACAGTCCAGTGGCACCTTTAAGACTAAGTTTTATTCAGGTACAAGCTCTCCCTCCTCTGTGAGGACAGATCTGCATGTTCCTCCCCTCCAGTAGCTAGCAATCCAAAACAGTCCAGTGGAGCCTGAGTGGTGGGTGTTGCCTTCTGACACACGTCCGGTGATGTCAGGGGGTGTGGCATATGCAAATGAGTTATGCTAATGAGTTATGCTAATGAGTGCTTGCACCTCTTTTTCTACGAAATTACCCCTGCTTCTCACTCTTTCAGAGTCCAAACCCAATTTTTTTTAAAAAATCACACACTTTCTGCACCAGCTATGTACAAATCTCATCCTTGTATAATCTGGTAGAAATGCCATATGTTTGCGCAGCACAACCCTCAAGAGTACAACCCTCACATTTATTTCCTTGTTACACTGGTTATGATTTGAAACAGATCCCATGGGGGGTTCCTATGTAGACTAGGGCTGCCAACCTCCAGGTGGGACCTGGAGATCTCCTGGGATCACAGCCAATCTCCAGGTGACAAAGATCTGTTCTCCCAAAGAACATGGCTGCTTCGTTGAGTGGACTCTATGAAGTTTCCTTCCCTCCCCCAAACTCACCCTCTCCAGACTGTACCCCCCTCCCAAATCTCCTGAAATGTCCCACCCCAGAATTGACAACTATATCAGACTAAGGCCTGCTTTAATGATGTCACAAGTAGTGATCCAGTGGTAAACCAGCAAGCAGTTAGTACCTGAACGGGTGATGATGTTCTGAGCTGTTGGACAGAGACAGAATGAACATTAAGTATTTGGGTAGTGACTTCCGGTTTATGGCGACACACTAGCAGACACATCACCCGGACCTCCCAGGGATATGATCTGCGCACCAGCAAATAGGAGGGGGGCGATGGCTCGCTACCCCCCCGGAGCCTTGGCAAAAGGGCTTTTGACGGGTGACCTCTTTGCCGGTGCGATGCCAGAGAATTGAGGCGCTCCTCCGCCCTGATGGTCCTGCCGCTGAGTGTCTGAATGGATCTAGAGCCACTGACCGGGACAAGCTTCAGAGATCGAGTGAGTTAAACGGATTCCGAGCCAGCTGAATGGCCGACAATGAACTGTGAGTCAGGTTAAAGCAAATATGAGAACTTAAAAAGAAAGCTACCCCCCCCCATGGAGCGACAAAAAGCGAGTGGGGGAGGGGTCCCTCCCAAACGCATGAACGAAAGCATGACATAAAGGAGGGGGAGCGGAAGAATAAGCATTTAAATCTGTTTTGAGAGACTTACCAGAGCGTGGATAAGCGTAGGGGTGAATTTCAGAGACTTTGGCAACTTGCATAAAAGTTAACAATCCATAAAGATGGCGGGGAAGAAAGCAGACAAAGACAAACTTGTAAAACTGAAACCAGTTGGTAGCCCTCGACCGGAAGAGAACATTGAGCTCTCTAAAATGTTGGCAGATTCCTTGCGCCCTCTTCTGGACGAGATGACTAACATTAAGCAACAGTTGTCAACAATAAGTCAGAGTATGGCGTCTCAGCAGCTCCAATTGACTGAGTCTTTAAAAGTAACAGCAAACAGCTGAGAAGGTGAAGGAAATG